GGCAGAGCTTACGATTAGAAGGCAGCCCATAAGAAATAAGGTAGAAGTGTGCAGAGGTGCTGGAATAAAGGAAAGCCATGAGAAACGTTCGGAATCCGAGAAAAGAGACAGGGACATTTTCTTCGCCGCGAATTGCGTGCTGGTTTGCACCCTGAGGGGTCTCAAAACTGTCGAGCTGTACCTCTTCCAGATTGAAGTCAATAGTCAATATAATTCAACTTATAGTTAGCAGATTCAATTCAGGAAATCCATGGATTAGAGAGCAGCACAAACCTGACTGTTGGGATTCTTTGTCGCCTCGAAGTCCTGCGGAGTAACACGAGTACATTCGGTACGTCCAATAGAAGTCTCTGTTTAACGTTGCTTTTTGTTGAATTTTCCAATCTTGCAGGTGGAACCTCCTGGAAACAACTACACATTGATTTTGCATGTGAAACATCGTGTTCCATTGGTGACAGGTGGCGACCGAGCGTACCTTCTGCAGTGCTACATTGGGAAACCTTCAGAAGACCAAGAGTTAACCGCAGATCTCGGTGTTATGAAAGGGTGAGACATTACAAAGCATTCAGAATGCCAGAATCTGGAACTTTCAAAGCGGATTACGATAAGACTGGCTTGGGTTCATAGTGGAAGTGGAGATGCTGAATAATGCCCCAGTGGCGAAAAAAGCAAAGAAATCCGTCAACGCGCAAAATGGGACCCTTTCTTTGCCCGTTGACCTCCGATAATGGACGAGCCTGCAACCAACTAAGAGGTCGTTTGCAAGTGTTAAACCAATACCCATCGTCCTGTCAGCGAACACCATGCTTTGATCAAACACATCCTTCAGAAAAGTCATAAAATACCCCCACTCGAAATGAAGTACCTTTGCGAAATGATAATTTAAGGGTGCTGCTTCCTGGGGGCAGAGCACCTTTAGATTATCGTTTTTCAGACGAAGGTGGTGCTCAGAAAGGATTGGCAAGCCCAGTACGCTGCAACTAGCGCACCTTTGGCCACAAAAACGCAACATTTCGTTTCCTTGGGCCCCTGACTACTGCTTCCAATGGTGCATGTACTTCCACGCTGCACGCACTTTATCGTAATCTCTCGCTTTGAGAGCTGTTTCAACTACACGCTTATTAAGAATTATGGGAAACTTCAAGGAGCAAGGAGACAAAGTTCGGCTGAGTCAGAGAGAGAAAGATTAAATGGTAAGGTATAATGGGTCGCAACTGCGCGTATACGCATCGCGTGTAGTTACGATCTACACGCTATGGCACGCTTTCCTATTCCTCTACATCGTTTGTCAAATCAAATTAAAGGAATCTTGCGCGGAAAATTCTTGCATTCTTTCCCAACATGAATATGTCAGTTGTGATCACTAGAAACAAGCACACAAAGTTTCACGCATGAAGATTCGGTTTCCGAAGAGAAACAAACACAAAAACCACACTCTATGGACAATCGAAGGTAAGGGGCGCGGAGCCAAAGGCGGGGCATGGAAAGAAGTCCGCCTTGGGGCGGCTACGTATCAGGCGACGCAACGAAAGTCGGGCTAAGTCGGATTTTAGAGAACAGGACAAAACGGTATAGAATACGATGCAGCAGAAGTGTGAGATGTTAGTGCAATAAGTCAAAAGGTCAAAAGAGTTTCTAGTGACAGCACTCCGTGAACCAAGTGGAAGCGTTCCCGCCGCCAGCATTTGTGACAGATGTCCGGCGGGAATTTGAACGCGTAGCAGTCCTTCCGGTTTTTCGAATTGTTTACCAAAACAAATGTTTTTTTGTTCTTTTCGTTCTTATCGTGAACGATGGGTCCCAAGCCAGTGATTATGGGTGAGATAGAATCATGTTTTTTCT